ACTGATGAACAAAAACAAATCCAGAGACAAGGAAGCATGCATCGATCAGACCATCAATCTTCAGAGGGAAGGTAGGGGAGGATGGGGGGAAGGGGGAGAGATCAACCAAGTGACTTGTATGCATGCATGTAAGCCTAACCAATGGACACAGACAACAGGGGGGAGGGCATGGGGGGTGACAATTGGGGGATAGATAAGGACACATATGTAATAGCTTAATCAATAATGGAAAAATAAAAAAACAAGATCCAAAGCATGGAGGCATGGAACAGACTAACATACCTTGATGTGGGGTTGGACAGATGAGAAGAGATAAACCAAAGAACATATATACTTATATTCATAGCCCATGGACACATACAATAGGCTATTCAAGTCTTGGGGAGGAGAGGGGCTGAGAGTAGGGGGGGAATGAGGGGGAAATGTGATACATGTAATACTATCAACAATAAAAAATATATTAAAAATAATAAGAAAAAAACTTTCTGTTCTTAAAGAATAATGCAGTCTCCACATTGTTGAGAGATTCTTTCAATCTATCCTCACATATTTTCAGTGTTACCTTCAGGGTTTATAATTGTTAATGTCCCATATACTAAATAATATTATAGTTATACTAGTGGTAAAACTGGCCCATAGACTTCAACAGGCAAAATGCTTAATTAATCACTATTCAAGCAATAATGTTAGTACATAGAAGGGAACAAATTGGTTAATTAAATAAGAAGTGACAGCCCTAACCAGTTTGGCTCAGTGGATAGAGCGTCGGCCTGTGTACTGAAAGGTCCCTGGTTCGATTCCGGTCAAGGGCATGTACCTTGGTTGTGGGCACATCCCCAGCAGGGGGCGTGCAGGAGGCAGCTGATCGATGTTTCTCTCTCATTGATGTTTCTAACTCTCTATCCCTCTCCCTTCCTCTCTGTAAAAAATCAATAAAATATATTTTTTAAAAAAAGAAGTGACATGCTACACTTTTCTATAGCAACACTTAGGTGTATTTTCCCAACTCTTGGGAAAATGAAAAGATAGAAGAAGACCTTCCCAAACCTATAATTCTTTCAGGAAAATGAAAACTTACAACAGGTTTACACACTAAAGAAGCTTACCCTTATTTCTAATTTACTGACGTGTCAATTTATAAAGACACACTCAAACACGGCCTTTGCCGAATTTGACATGCAAAAGGGTTACCTTTTCACAATGGTCAGCATAACAACATCAGTCACTTTACTGGATCTTGAAAGCACAGATGGTCAAGAAAGAGTCATGTTTTTCTGAATGTTCCTAGAAATGGAACTGATATGTTGAGATATATTTTCATTTCTTAGTGCTTTAGGTTTTAGGTCTCAAGGATGAATGGTGGAAGGATCAGCAAACAGAAACAGAAGGTAACTTATAGGGATGTTTTGTTCATTGCTGTATTCCTAGCATCTAGTCTATATTACTGAATAAATACACTTGGGAAGTGAAACCCTGGGTTTGAAAAGCTGGTATCACTATTGTCCCCAAAAGAAACTATTTTGTAGAAGGCATTTTTGCCTTAAAGATTTCAGACTGGTGCAGCCACTGTGGAAGACAGTATGGAGTTTCCCTCAAAAAGTTAAAAATGGAACTCCTACTTCTAGGACTATATCCCAAGAAACCAGAAACACCAATAAGAAAGGGTATCTGGTTCATAGGAGCACAATTTGTAATAGCTAAGATTTGGAAACAGCCTAAGTGCCCATCAGCAGATGAGTGGATTAAAAAACTGTGGCACATCTACACAATGGAATACTAGGCAGCTATATAAAAGAAGGAACTTTTACCATTTGCAACAGCATGGATGGAACTGGAGAGCATTATGCTAAGTGAAATAAGCCACTTGGAAAAGATAAATATCACATGATCTCACTCATATGTGGGATATAATGATCAACATAATTTGATGAATAAGAATAGATCCAGAGACAAATGGCAGAGGAGGGAGGTTAGAGAGCAACCAAAGGACTTGTATGAATGCATATTAGCATAACCAATGGACACAGACACTGAGGTGGTGGGGGCTTTCCCAGGGTGGGAATGGCTGCGGGGGGGCATCAACTGGGGAAAAAGGAGACATATGTAAAACTTCAGACAATAAAAAAAAGATTTCAGAGAGGTCCTTCACTGTATTTGAAAGAACTTCAAGAACCCAACTTTGGGAGTATTGCCCCAACCTGATTATGTTCCAAGATGAAAAATTGAGGCAAATTTTATATATTCATATCTAAGGATGTGAAAATGAAACAACAAGCTAAAAAGGTGCATGCTTTCAAAACCATTTTGTCCTACCTTGTTCTGATGAATGAAAACATAAACAGTCATAAAATATACAAAGGTGGTTCTTACATTTTTGTCATCCACAGAATTCTTTGAGAATCTTATGAATGCTAGAGATCCTTTTCCCCCCAAAAATGAGCATGCGCACACACACATACACACACAGATATTTTTAGGCAACAAAGCATTCCCCAACTCCTCCCAAAGTTCATTTATGAATCAAGAATTTGAAAACTACTGAATTAAGTAAATGTTTGAGTGTACATGAGGATATCCTAATATATAAAAACCCTGGGTCTTAACGACCAGTAAGGACAGAGGCTGGACCAAACAGAAGTCAGTTCTGCAGTCAGTGCTGGGTTGCCTGGCTGCAGGAGTGGTGCCCCAGCACTGACTGCTGAGGGGGATGTGAATCAGGGCCCGAGAGAGGCCTAAAGAGAGAAGCAGGGACTGATCTGTTGCCTTTGTGGCAGCTTTTGATCAGCACTTGCCTCTCTATTACTCTGCCAGTCTGGCCAGCAGCTGGGCCTCCACAGGGGCTGCTGATCAGCCCCACCTTTCTTTTTTTTTTTTTTTAATATATTTTATTGATTTTTTACAGAGAGGAAGGGAGAGAGACAGAGAGCCAGAAACATCGATGAGAGAGAAACATCGATCAGCTGCCTCCTGCACATCTCCCACCGGGGATGTGCCCGCAACCCAGGCACATGCCCTTAACCGGAATCGAACCTGGGACCCTCCAGTCCGCAGGCCGACGCTCTATCCACTGAGCCAAACCGGTTTTGGCCAGCCCCACCTTTCTTATCAGGCCCTGTTGATAGGCCCAGAGACGCTGACTGGCATAGAAACTGACCAATCAGAACCAAATGTGGGTGCTGTGAAAGACAAATGGCTGCCTAGGAGGCAGAGCTTCTGACACTGACTGGCATAGAAACTGACCAATCAGAACCAAGTCTTGGTGCTGTGGGGAGCCAGTGGCTGCCTAGGAGGTGGAGCTTTTGATGCTGAGTGGCATAGAAACCGACCAATCAGAACCAAATTGCAAGCAGAAGAGGGCAGTTGGGGGCGAGATCACACCGGCAGGGAAAGGCCATTGTGGGGAAGATCAGGCCACCAGGGGAGGGCAGTTGGGCGCAACCAGGCCAGAGAGGGAGGGCATTTAGGGGTGATCAGGAAGGCAGACAGAGGCAGTTAGGATCAACCAGGCAGGCAGGCAGGTGAATATTTAGGAGCCAGTGGTCCCAGATTGCGGCAGTCAGACATCCCCCAAGGGGTCCCCAATTGGAGAGGGTGCAAGCTGAGCTGAGGGACCACCCCCTCCATGCACAAATTTCATGCACCGGGCCTCTAGTATGTACATATTTTACATATGTAAATATTTAGTGACCATTTAATAATTGTAAAATCTTATATGGTATAAAACTTCCTCCTCCACTTAGATATGAAATTGTCAGTGACCAAGTTCTATGGAAAGTGATAAACCAGTGTTCTGAGTATTGAAGTGACAAATGCTCCTATAGTGTTCTGAAAACAACTATTTATTTGAAGTCATTTTAAAACTTGTATGTCTTTACAGCAGGGTTGAATTCAATATGACAACTTGGATTGGTGGGTATTGTAGACAATTTCCTATGGAAATTATGTCTTGGGAGATAAGGTAATCAGCCAGGGAGTTCACTCATCTCTTAATCTAACAGTATAAAGTTGAGCAACATTCTTTCCACATCACTAGTCCCTTTCTCTGCCAGTGCCTGCCTGTTCTAGGGAACACGGTATTCCATCAAAGGCAGAAATTACACTTTTGTAGTGGTTACCCTGAATGAGTGATTTTTATCCTGAGTATATTTTACAGTTCAGCTAATAGCTTCATAAGAATTACATTTAAAAATTATAATAGACATTAACAGCTCACACTTCAAACTGAGAAAAATAGTTGACAGTAACAGTTGCTACAGTATTTGCTAGTCTATGAATTTTACTATTCTAATTGAACTTTGGGGGAAGAGGGAACCAGGAAAAGATGGTTAAAGAAACTTCAGATTTCAGGGTTTAAGCAAAGTTATGATATGTGCTCAGGATATTGATAAAAAGTAGAGATTCATATGAAAATCTCTCTATTCAGTAAAAAGAATACATTTCAATAAGTAAAGGCATAGGAAAATGAAGTTTCCTTTTTTGTCCTTCAGCAACCTGACACTGCATCCCTCCTAGAAGCTTTCAGCTGGGCAATTACTTTAGTTTTAGATTATTCCCCAACTCCTCCCAATTTTATTTCTAAATTTATGTGTGGAGAGCACCCACAAATAGTCAACTTCTCTCTCCAATTGCAAAGATATTGACATTTTATTGCCTTTGTCCACGTTTCAGTTTTTTTTTATGTCCTAACTAAAAAATGAATAATTTATTTTTTCCTTTCTCCTCTGATCACTAATTTCATTCCTAGTCTCTGAAATATTGAATTTCTATGGTTTAGAAGAGTTGTAGTGTCCTCATTTTGCAGGTTCTCAGACAGTTCTCCCTTAAGTCTGGTATCATGTTGCCTTCACCTGCCTGCCTTCTTTTCTTTCTTCCCTTCTTCCTGTGGCAATGTTAAGGCTCATGGTTGTGATACCATTGAATGTGGCTTGTGTGGAAACTGCCTTGAGTAGCTCAAAAATCTCAGGAACCTTCTACAGGGCCACAGTGGGAGATGGATCCTTCTAAACAAAGATGCTGACGAGAGGGAATTCAGCCTGACTGTGTTGCAGCAGATCAATCAGAAAGCACACCGTCCCAGAGAAGCCTTCATACGAGCTGTATATACTTTCAAGGACGTGAGAACCGGCCTTCAATTTCTCAGTAAATACAAACTCAGCAAACCTAAAAGAAGAAAATATGAAGAGTTTTAACAGTAGTGTTTCCACATAATTGGCTTTGGGTTGCTTCTTCCTCCTCTCTGCTAAGTTAAAATGTTAGCATCATTTTATTTCCAGAATTATATAATATTTTAAGAATGACTGTTCCTTTAAAAAATGAATATGCTGTTTTTCTGCAGGCATATTATTTCTGAGCTAGGTTTCATTTATATGTGACAGAGAGCAGAGACTGTGAAACTATATGCGCAAGATTTTATACAATCTGTGCTTTGGGTAAACAAAGGGATAAGATGAATGAGAATAAGCAAACCACATTTTATAGTCATGACATTGTGGGAAACTGTTTATTGCCTTCACTATCTGATAAGCATAGACAGAGAACTCCCCGAAACCCCCCCCCCCCAAGGCTGGGTGCCTTTGAAGCCCTAGCAAAGGTCAGAGCTAGGGGCCACCTCTGTTTGTCCAGACAGTGATAGCTGAAACTACTCCCCCATTTATTATTATGTAAATCCTTGCTGATGGGCTAGTCTGCTTGTTACTAGGGGGTCACCTGCCTAAGGGCTATGCTATGGGTGCATCCCAGATCAATAAAAGCTTGGTGAAACCTGAGCACTGAGGAAGTCCTTCGGGACTTGGCCGCCTGGTCCCCCAATATTGCAAAATTATCTCATGACTTTTTCTCTCATTTGTTGTGCGGCTCCTCTTTCAGACACCGAACCCTACTCCATGCAGAACGTGGAGGGAGTCTTACTCAACATCTGGCGCCCAACGGGTAATCTGGAAATGCAGGTCTAGCTGGAGCTAGAAAAGGAAGTTTTCACCGAAAAGGTGCGGAAAACTCACTGAAAAAAGGTGAGGGGAAGTCTACCGCACGCAATGCCCAGGATCAACTACAGAAGCCCAGGTCTGTAAGTACACTGGGAACGTTTTCTTAACCAGGCTAACAAACGGGGCAGGATTTGGCTTTAAAAAAGTAGATTCAGCTTTAAAAAGGTATATTTGGCTTTTAAAAAAATAAGAAACTTTATTATAGACTTTTGATTTGCATGTTTAAAGTACTAAAATTTTAGAAGGTAATCTTTTACAGTTTTTGCATGTTATTATAGAACATAACCCTTGGTTTCTTGAAAAAGGTACATTAGATCTTAAAAGTTTGCCAAAAAGTTAATCAGAACTTGCCCAAAATCATTTCCCCTTGTGGAACACGGCATTTCATTTCCTAGAGGTTTTAGGAGAGGTCAAGGAGGATAAATCTCCTCCCCTTGCACCCTCCGCTCCTTAAGAGGAACAGAAAGAAAAGAAAAAATGGGAGGAATGGCCTTCATGGCTCCCTCCACCTCCATGTCCTAATCCTGATACATTTAATTCTCCGTTAATAGAATCACCTATGCAAAAAGGCCAACTTATAAAGACATTGGAATATTAAAAGGTACTTTTTAAAATCAGGCTGAAAAAAGAGTGCCATGGTCATCTTAATGTGGTTTCTTGTCCAAATTAAAATCTTAATTTGTATTTGGAACCTAAAATCTGTAATAAGAAATGAAACCCTGCTGCCGAGTCTGCCCCTGGTGTGGAGAGATTCGAAGGTGGCAGGAAAAGGCAGAGTTATAAGCTCTCCCACAATGAGATTACTTAATGTTTTATTTTAAAAAAACCAGAGAACATGTTTGGAACACCAAACTTTGGCTAAGATAACCTTGGGTGCTAGCCATGACTTTAGAAAGGGAAATAGGGAAAAATTTAAAATGTTTTCTATTAAGCATGACTTTGGGAAAAATACGCCATCTGAGTCATTTGCTGAAACTTCCCCCAAAAGCAGGATGTGGGGAAAGGGAAGAAGGAGCACGTGGCGATCCAGTGTGGACGCCCCCTCCCCAAGTATTCTAAAATTAAAGTCCTTCTAGTAATTGAAAAGCTTTTACAAATTTATAAATGCATCCGGGATTTCTGTGCACATGTAAAGGGAAAAGGCCAGCTTAAAAACGAGTGCTCATAGTTTTGAGCTGAACTTGACTTTTTGCTGTGTACAGAATAAAAACCCAAGACTGTTTTGGCCTTAAAAATGGCGGAGATGAACCTGAGAAAGAAACGCAGACAGGTTTCCCAAGGCCATTTAAAGTAGCTCTTTTGAAATTTCCCGCCCTGAGGCAAGTACCACCAGGAAGTTGATAGTCAAGTTTACATGTGAATAGCTATGGTTTTGCTTCTTGACTTCCCCAGCAGGAAAATTGTGACCATTTTGAAATTTAATAGCTATGCCAGGCTTATTGGCTGGAAACATAAAACTTTTAAGTTCAAATTATCTAAAAGTATTGAGATTTATAATACTGAAATGTTGATCTGAGTGTGCCTAGTATGAAGTCTAGAAGATAAAAGTTAATCTATTAATTGAAAATGCCTTATATTTTATTTGAAATGTATCCTTAAATGCAAAAGTATTGATTTAAAAAATGCTACCTATTTAATTTGCTACCTAAGATTTAAAGCTCTGAAAGTTTAAGGTGCAAATTGAATCAGGAGAAATTAATTAAATATCTAATGTATAACTTGTTTTTGAAAAAATAAAATGTGGTTTCTCTTAAATGATTAGGAATTCAAAATATGTTACTTCTTGGTCTGATTTAAAAAAGAGGATTAATTTTGTGATTTCAACTGAAATTTTTAATACAAAAACCAGTTTAAATTTGATTAATATTCTTTAAGATAATTATAAAGGCTATAAACAGATAATGAGATTTCTGTTTGTCTACAATATAATGTTGGCCATCTATCTTTTAGGGATTTTGGTTTGCTCTTCCCTTGTTTATTGTGAGAATAAGGAAATCATCTTTTCTGTCAGAGAACAGTTTAGACAGCCACAATGTTGAGCTGCCTGACTTGGCAGCCGCCATGTTGGCCGCATGGCTTACCGCTCCCCCTGGGGGCCGCCATCTTGGAACAGCAAAGGCTCCTCCCTCTGACTTAGCCAATCACAAAAGGAATGTCTGCTCACTGAGGCAGGATGGAATTTCAGGGGTGGAGTTTTAAGGCGGAGTTTTACTACAGAAATGCCGATGGGGCAGAAAGTGTGCTTGCCTCTCAGATTTATTTAATACTATTTTTAAGAAGATATTTTTAATGCTTAATAAATTAGCAATCATGGTCTTAATATAATTTCAGTGGTATGATAGACCAATGTTTTAAGCAGTTGGCTTTATAAGGGCAGACAATAGAGCTCATATTTCTTAAAAGGCTTGTAGATACATTTTTAAAAGATATCTTAAATTCTCAGTAGAACCACAGTTATACATATATCATAAACAAATTAAGAGTAATTGATTCCAGGGTCAAGACTAGATCCTATTATGTTGAGAACTGTTTAAAAAGTGTTGAAAATGTTTTAATTAGATATGTATTTGGAAGTTTTTCCCGAGTGCAATATTTCAAAATATAACATGCTTGGTTCCATAAGGAATTTCTGCCAAATAAAAGAAAGAATTGATTTATTAGTATCAAAGTCTTTATTTAAACTAGCAATGTCTTTTATTTAAAAGCACCATGCCACTGCATTTTAGATTAGGCTGGAGGTGAAGCAGCATTTGCACCTTGTGTATCAGACATAAAACTTTACTAAATTTACTAATCTTTGTAAGCAATTGAATCCTAGTAAAGTAAATTCTTCTGAAAAAGTTACTGAAGGCTTCCCATGATCCCTCTGTATATGCAAATAAGCTGAAAGGGAATGCTGTTTAAAAATATTATTTTAAATTTAATAAAAAGGAGAAAGTTTAATATTTTGAAATATCTTTCACTAATATTTACAGGATAATCTAATGATTTGCTGTTAAAATACCAAATCAGAAAATAAGTACAGTCACCATAAATGTTTTATGACTTTGACTTGAAATACATGGCCTTGCGGCACTATCAGTCAACACCCAAGAAGTAACCCTTCAGGTTACTTGGTGTAAAAAAGAAAGGTTTTTCTTTTTTAAGTTAAAATTCTCCAAGTGTAATCCAGCAGGAGGAAGACAAACCAGACAACCAACAGCCCAGAGACCACCTGGGGCATGGTAAAGTGAAGTATGGTAACAATTAATTCAGGTAAAAACTGTAAGTTTCATATGTCTTGGAAAGCATATTTTTCCTTTACCTGGGAAGGACAGCACAGCTATCCCAAAGTCAGAAGGATCCAGTTAGCGTGTCAACTCAGTGCCCTGGAGACCCAGAACTGTAATTTAGATAGCATACTGTCTCTGCTTCTGTAAATTTCTTCTTTTTTTTGAAAACTAGGCTCCTCATTCCAAACCTTGAGTTTAAAATTAAGTTGTCATGACCTAGAGCAAAGAATATTCTTACATGGTATTATTCTACAAGTTTTATTAAAAATTTTTGATGCTTTACAACAGTATATTGTGCATTTATACCAAACAAATTTACAAATGAATTTGAATGTTTTATATGAAGGGATTTATTCCTTTCCACTGTGTGGAGGGCCTCCTCGGGAAGGCACTTAAGCATTCTGTATTGGCCTATCTTGACTTTTTTTGCCAAGAAGAATCCAATTGCCTACTGCTGTTACCTGAGCTCTCTGTTCAAGCTGGGATCATGAAAAGCTGGTACCATGGATCTGTCTCTTGCCCAATGGCGTAAGCTGGGCCCTCCCTGAAGAAGAAACCTGGGTTCCCTATGATCAATGCCGGGGCCCCGCCAGCAGGTGAGGGGATACAAAGGCAGTTGCTGGGCATGGAGGCCAGAGGGACATAGGCTATCAAGGAGACAGAACTGAACCTCACATCACCCTACTTGGCCCAGAGATAGCTGGCAGTCAACGACGGGTAAGACCCCACAGGGTGGGGTGACCTAAGACAGGCACAGCTGGGGGCCAGTAGGAGAAAACTTGGGGTGCAACAAAGGTGGGGCACAGATCCTCACCCCACCCAATGGTGCACGGGCTTGAACACTCGGCCCTTCTGAGAAAGGTCTCCTGTCCCTATGGCTGCTTCTTGCTTCCCATGCCCAGCC